TGCTGGACTCCCACATGGCCGACTGTGGTTCTAGTCCCAGACCTAGTGGCTTGCTTTCTCACTTAGTCTCTCTCTCATCAAATTAAAATAAAGTTAAATAAAAGAATTCTTAAAAAAAAAAAAAAAAAGGAGAGAGAAACATGACCATTGCTCTCACGAGGAAGGACTGCAGCATGGCCTTTCCCCATGAAGATGATTTCCTTTTTTTTTTTTTCTTTTTAAAAATTATTTACTTATTTATTTATCATTTCACATGAGTTTTGCCAAAGAAAGACAGAGAGAGGGGGAGAGAGAGGGAGAGGAAGAACGCATGCCACCAGGTCCAGGACTTGAACCTCAGTCAGCCATGTGGGAGTTCCAGCACCTTAACCACTACGACACTGGCCCGGAGTGGGGGTGGGGTGGGGCCTGCCTGGTGGGGAGTGTTGGGGTGCTTTCTCACTTTCTCTTTCTCTTTCCAGCAAGTATACACACCCTCTGGCAAGTTAAAAAAATAAAATAAAAAAAGAAGTAAATGTCAAACTTCCAACAGGTTTTTCTTGACAACTTGACATAAAGAGTCTGAAATTCATAAGAAAGAACAAAGACCCAAGAATGGTCCAGAAACATTTTAAAGACCAAGCAGGGAAGGCGCGTGTACCGGACAGCACGTGAAGAGCCCCGGAACTGCCTCATGCACGGGAGAGAACCTGGCTCACGGCAGGCTTGGCACTGCGGCGGGGAAGAACTTTGCTAGAAAATCAGATATTCTTCTAGTGGAGAAATTTTAAATCCTCCCTCATGAACTGCACACATAGTAACTCTATAGGGACTAAAGATTCAAAAATAAAAAGAAAAAATCTAAACCTTTTATGAGAAAACACAGGTGAGCACCTTTCCGCCCTGGAGTGAGGGAGTCAAGGATATTTTCTGACAGCGACGGTACCATGTTTAAGTCCCTCACCCACAAGAACTTCTATGCAACAACTGCCAAGATGGGGCTGGTGGGTAGCATGGTGGTTAGGGTGCTGGACACTCCCACACGGCTGACCGGGGTTCGGGTCTAGGACCTGGTGGCTTGCTTTCTCATTTTCCCTCTCTCCGTTTAAACTGGAAACTAGTAATAATAATAATAAAAAATTAAATAAATAGTTTTTTTTTTTTTTTTTTTGAGAGGTTTTTGCTATAGGGCACATGTGCCCGCCAGAAAGACAGAGAGAGACAGAAAATAAGAAATCACCCCCCAGGGTGGCCATGCTGCAATCCCTTCTCCCCCATGCTCCTTTCAGGATCTTGGGCACGCACGCACACGCGCCTGGCATGAGTTCAAACCACCAGGTCTGGGGCTCAAACCGCAGTTGACTACATGGGAGTCCAGCGACATAGCCATCACATCATCTACTGGTCCCAAAATAAATAGTTCTTTTTTTAAAAAAAAAGAAAGAGAGAAAACTACAAAGGCAAAAGACCCGCCCCAGTCTGGATGTCTGCACAGACAGTGAAGGCCTTGCAGCTAGAACCTACCCAAAGAAGCCCTGACTCAGCAAGAAAGGGAAAGCTCACTCATTAGAAAACAGAAAGACAGCTCGTAGAAGAAGAAACCAAAAAACACTATGAAAAGGATGCTGGCCTTCGCTGCCCGCTGGAGAAATAACAAATTAGAACAAGATACCGTTCTTCCTCCAACAGAACATCAAGATATAATCATGAAAAATGGCCGAGGATGTAAGAAAACAGGAGATTCTCAACTCCCAGTGGAGAACAGGCCTGGGCAGCTGTCTGGCAATGGCAGAGGTAGGGACACACAGGACTGTGACACGACCAGGCCACCTCTGGGTCCATTTCCTGGAGACACGTCAGCATACTGGCACTACACCCACCCAGGAATGCTGACTGCATTGTCACTTTGATAGGGAGACATTAGAAAAGGCCAGTGGGGGGGGCAGCAGATGGCATGGCGGTTAAGACACTGGAATTCCCACATGGCTGACCACAGTTTGAGTCCCGGATCTGGTAGCTTGCTTTCTAACTCTCCCTCTCTCTCTGTCTTTCTCTGGCTAAATTCATGTGAAAAAATTATAATAATAATAAATAAATAATTCTTTTTTAAAAAAGGAAATGTCTAGTGCAGATCAATGGAGGAAGAGGAAATAAATAGTAAGATAAGTTGCTTTGGTATATTAACCTTCATTAAAATGAATGAACTGGATCTATATGTATCAACAGGGAGAGAGCTGAAATACAGAACTTTTTAAAAACAATAATAATTATTTTAAGAATTATTTTACTTATTTATTTAGTTATTTTAATTTGACCAGAGAGGGAGGGAAGAAAGGAGGGAGAAGGAGAGAAAGAAAATGAGAAAGCAAGCCACCAGGTCCAGGATTCAAACTGCGGTCGGCCATGTGGGAATTTAGTGCCCTTAACCACCATCCCACATGCTGGCCCCCCAAAAATAATTACTTATTATTATTATTTCTAGAATTATTTAACTTTTATGTATTTATTTTTAATTCGATCAGCAAAGGACAAAGCGAGAGAGAGAAAGCAAGCAGCCATGTGGGAGTCCAGCGCCCTTAACCACCACACTACCTGCTGGCCCCAATTATTATTATGATTTTTTAAACTTGCTATAGTCATCAGAGAAAGAGAGAGAGAGAAGGAAAGTGAGAAGCAAGCCACCAGGTCCAGGACTTGAACTGTGGTTGGCCATGTGGAAGTCCATCCAGCTCCCTAACCACTATGCCAGCTGCTGGCCCCCAGAATAAGTTTTTAAAACATAAACAGTGGTATTACATATTGTTTATGGCTATGTATGTATACAGCAGAACTTTTAGAATGTAGATGGAAAGAAGAAACAACTTCAGGACAAGTGGTTACTCTAGGGAGGAATGGGACCTGGAGACCTAAAGAGGGATTTAGATGGCATCAGAAATATATTATTTCTGGGCCAGCAGGTAGTGTGGTGGCTAAGGCACTGGATGCCCACATGGCTGACCACAGTTCAAGTCCTGGACGTGGCAGCTTGCTTCCTCATTTTCTTTCTCTGTCTCTGACTCTCTCTGCTACATGCCCTGTAGCAAATTAAAAAAAGAGAAGATAAATACAAATATGTCTTTTTTTTTTTTTTTTTTGCTATAGGGCGCGTGCATGTGCCAGACAGACAGAGAGAGACAGAGAGACAGAAAGCAAGAAATCACCCCCCAGGGGGGATGGCCACACCGCAATCCCTTCTCCTCCATTCTCCTCTCGGGATCTTGGGCACGCACGCACATGCACCTGGCGTGAGTTTTAAGCCACCGGGTCCGGGACGTGAACCGCGGTTGACTATGTGGGAGTCCAGCGACATAGCCACTATGCTAACTGCTGGTCCCAATTAAATAAGTCTTTAAAAAATAAAAATATTTATTGAATTTCTACTTGGTGCTAGGCAATATTCTAGGTGTCCAAAATGATTATACGAAAAACTTTTAGTCTTTTGAAAATTATATTCTAATGGGATAGAGGGGCACTGAACATATAAGGAATGTATAAATAAAGATAATCTATAAATAACCTCCTTTCCACCCAGACAGTATCTGTTCTATCCTTTAGCTTTTAACACTGCCCTTGGCACTTGGAAGACTGTCAAAATACAACAGTTACACTGAACTGGGGCAGGTGTCCATGAACGCGGCAATGTGGTCAGTCGTGTACATGTTTCTGCCCTTGTGAGGTGAGGATCTAGCTGAGATGAGACGACACGGGAGATACATTTAATTAAATGCAAGTGAAACACAAAAGACTAGAGTAGCACAGACTGGGTAAAGGGGAAACCAGGCAGGTGAGACGGAAGGGAGGCCTTCCGGAGGACACAGCAGCTGAGCTGGTCAGAGACAAGGTCCCTCGGGTCAAAGGAAACCACTATGCACCCATCAAGCCAGCGAGGTCTTCACTTCAGGGATCTGGCTTTTCTCGTGTGCCCACCTGTCCTTTCCTTCACTTTCTTTCTTTTTTTAATTGTTAGAAGGTAGATGCCCTCATCAGAGAGAGAAAAAGAAAGGCACCCCCAGTGGGGCGTGGTCACACCATAATCACTTCTCCACCATTCCTCCATTCTATGGGGATTTGGGACACACGTGCATGTGTGCCCAGGGTGTTTTCTGAGCAGCTGGAGCAGGAGTTCCACTATAGTCGGTCATGTGGGATCCAGCTCCCTTAACCTGTGGGTTACTGGGCTGGCTCCCTTTCCTTAACTTTCAAAGATACTGACTGGCTCCAGGAAAATCGGAGACACTGAAAGCTAGACGTCGATTCACCTGCAATAAGCCTGTAGTTCTAATCAAATTGAACCATGGGCCAAGCAATGCGCTCATGTCCTGCAACTGCGCATGCATCTGTGAGACATTCTCCCCTGGACAGAGCCAAGGCAGCTTCTCCATAGACCTACGCATGGATTCTGCCTTCAATATACTCCTTCTTCCCTGGGGTCTCCTGCTCTTCCTTGCCCCAATGCTGTGCTGTTGGCTCTGTTTCGAAAGGTTAGGTTTTGCTGCCTGTTTCCATGACAGAAAGTAGTCATTTCTAGGGTGTTAGCTGACAGGTTAGAGGTTACAACTCAACAATAAACTATTCAGACTTAAAACATTCAAATTTAGGCCCAGCCTAGGTGGTGCAGTCAGCAGCATACCTGCCTGCAGTGCTGGGAGCCACAAGGGCTAACGTGGGTTCGGATCCCCTGGCTGGGCTGAAAGCACACTGGGCATGTGCACGGGAGCCCAGGGTCCTGAGGAGCTGGAGGGCTGGAGAAAGGGGATCGCGGTGTGACGCGGTCCTGTCAAAAGTGCCATCTCTCTCACTCCCCAGTCCTCCTCTCGGTCTCCCTGTGCACTCACGTGCTCTCTGTTATCCATAAAACAAAAGGAAATAAGCCATGCAAATTCGCTGTCTCTCTCTCTGGAAAGCGCGTCCCTTCCTGGCTCTGCTCTGTGCTTTTTGCAACAGATCATCTGGTGACTCCTGGCCCCTCCCCAAGCCCTCACCTGGACTTGGGTCCACAGGAACGTCTGGAATCTTGGGGCCAGTGCGACGCCAGCTGCACGGCTCCTTCCCTTGTTCAACTTGGGAGAGGACCTCGGGCTTGGAGATGGCGTAGTCTGAGCAAGGACAGAAAGGTTAGCTTTGCCATGTTCCAGTCAGAGCTGGGAGCAGGCCGCCTGGAAAACCACGAATGCTGTAGAAACTCATGTGTCCCCTGGGCACATGTGACAAGTCTGGAGACAATTCTGTCATTTTTTGGGCTGAGACAGTACCGCTGGCATCTGTGGCTGGAGGCCAGGGAAGCTGCAGAACGTCCTACAGTGTGCAGGACGAGCCCCACGACAGTCACCCGGTCCAGATGTCAGTGGCAGTGTCTCCGAGTCACAAGCAGCGTGCTTCTGCAAACTGAAATTGAACATCTGTGGACCCCTGCGCCTGGCCTCTCCAAACATGCCCTATTGCGTCCAGCTCTGGGGTGATTCACGCCTATTACATTACTGTGTGCTTTATTTCTATTATTATCACATTGTACTATACCCTGAAATAATGATACGACCATAGGGTTCACGCTCCTAGGAGCATCGAATCTGCGGCTGACCTAACAGGAAGGAGGCAGGACTCGATGGCAACACCATCGATGAGGGGCTGGAAATACAGGCGCAGCTTCCCTAGTTCGAAGGCTGTTCCCCTCCAGCTAGGAGTTAGAGGCCTTGCAAAATCCTATTCACAGAGAAATGAGCATCAGGCCTTACCCAGGGAGACCAGCGTCTCATAGTTGCCCCTCATCACGTGCTTGTAGAGCTCCTTCTGCCAGTCCTCCAGCCGGCCCCACTCCTGCTCGGAGAAATACACGGCCACATCATCAAAGGCCACGGGCACCTGGAACCACAGCAACACACTCGCTCGCCCACACGCTGAAGGACCCGGCCCCTGGGGCTCCCCCACCCCAGGGCACCAAGGGCTACCTTGGGGGCCTCCCCCTTGCTGCCCGGGGGCAACCGCAGGATCCAGAAGTTCCTGTTGCGCAGCAGGTTCTCCACGTTCTCCAGCCGCCTCTGCAGCAGCCCGTACTCCTGCAGCAGCGTCCCCAGCACGGCCCACTTGCCCTCCAGCTGGTTGCCGAACTCCACCGCTGTCTTCTCGCAGTCGGCCAGCTTCTTCTCGGCCATCCCTGTCCGGCCTTCTAGGGAAAGCAGGCGAGCAGCCTGAGACTCAATCTTCCGCTCCATGGCCTGGATCGTGGCTGCCATTGTCCACGGAGAAATCTTTCGGAAATAGAAAGGGGAAACCAGCATCAATCGGCCTGTCTGTTGTGTCCTTGAGCCTATGCCCCCAGGCATGGGAGCCCGTGTACACGGAAAGTGGAGACAGCCTGTGCCACTTGCCAGAGCTCACCTCGGGTTCATCTCCTCTGGGGAACTTAGAGAGGTCCACCTCTGGTGGGGGCCTAATCTCCAGGCCTCTGCAGTCCGCGGTCGGGATTCCTATCACTGCGCTCCCCCACCCACACAGAACTGTCCTGGGCTCCCCACAGGCAGCACACACCCTTTTACCGCACCGTGTGGCCACATGGGAGGCACTCAGCACAACTTTGCTAAATAAGCAGCCACTTGGTGCAGTGGGGGTTTCGGCGGAGAAATGGTCAACTGCAGATCTGCTAAGCCCGGCCGGTACCTCCTGTGTGATGGCACAGGAGCCATCCACTGACGATGACCTAGCAAAAACCAGCCGGCTCACTGGAACGGCACAAACAAGGGTGTTGCTCAATTCCGTTTTCTTTCTTTCTTCTGTTTCCTTCCTTCCTTCCTTCCTTCCTTCCTTCCTTCCTTCCTTCCTTCCTCCCTTCCTCCCTTCCTTCCTTCCTTCCTTTATCTGTGTGTGTTTTTTTTTAGAGCATTTTATGTCCCCCTTTAATAAACATCAAAATCTAACAGTCAATTCTCCTCCTGCCAGGATAAACTGATATGTCCCCTCAACTGCCCCTCCTGCACCAGGAAATGGCCCTAACTACAAATCTGCACTGGCCCGGAGCTGGGCGCTTAGACCCTACACCGGCCCTGAGCTGCTGGCCTTCTCTCTCCCGATTGCCACGCCTCCCCAGGTAGAAGTGATGGCCTCAGGTACTTTTGCAGCTGCACCAGGATGAAGGACACACCGGACAGATGCCACAGTGTCAGCCTTCACACACGCCGTCACCACTGTGAAGACACTGAGCGCCTGTCACTAGAAACGTGGGGACAGTGGCTTGAGTGACCAGCAGTGGGGACAATGAAGAAAGGGCACATTTGGCTTTGGGGTGGAGCTGGATGACCCAACCCACCCACACGGGGAACTGGGGCCTGTGGGGCCGAGAGGAGGTCCTGGCACTGGTGCCTTCAGCTACTAAGTGATCGATGGTTCCTCCTAAAGTTTTGGACAGTCATTCCCCAGCAAACGTTGGTGACTGCAAAATAAAGTTGTGACTCCTAGGAACCTGCACGGGTCATTTAGAGAAAGTCACTGAGACCCACTGCAAAACACGGATGGACTTGCAGGAACTAGAGAACAGGGTGTTAGAACAGAGGCGGGAAAAACACCATCCAGGGTGAATCTGGCGGTTTGGAGGGCGCTGGATTTGAAGAGGGCAGGACTGGGGTTGGGTCTCAAAGGCTGGGAGGTTCTGGACAGGCGCATGCTGTGGTGGCAGCCTGCTCTCAGGAGCAGGTGGCAAGGGCCCGAGGACTTCATGCGCCCCAGCCAGGGCTGGCGCAAGTCCACCTTCCACCCACAGCAGTTCCTTCCGTCACTCCTCCTCTCTCGGATCAACCCTTGCCTAATGATCCTAGCTAGACCCAAAGAGTTGACCCGCGGTCTTTTCCTTTCATCACCTGCTCCCTGTCCACTGCAATCCTACCCATCATCCATTGTTAAATCTTTGTGTTGCAGGAAAAGGGAGTCTGCCAAATGCATACTTTATTAGAGAGACTGGTCTTAGTGTCTGAACAATGGGCAAGACGGTTTCTGTTCTAATGGGGCCAGGAAGCCCCATGTCAGGCCGGCACACCCTTCACGGGAGATGGCGACAGCCCCAGCGCCTTGCCAAATGGTGGGTGCCATGCTAGGGCTGCAGACAAGCCCCCCAACCCTGGGGACATTGGAGACATTTTGGTCTCCTCCCCTTTCGCATTCCACACGAGGGCATGGTAAGAGGATGTCAAAGCTTTCCACACTCCGACCCACCACACGAAGTCCTCGCAGTCGCCTCTGTGCCTTGGACACGCCTGCCTGCCTGTCCCGGTCCCGAGTCTGTGCCTGGGCCCAAGCCCTCCTCCCTCCTGCAAAGCTCCCCTGGTCTAGCTAGGCCTGCTGAAATCCTAGCCTTCCCACAGAGCCCAGCTCAAATCACAGAGGCACAGAGTGGCAGCCAGGAAGGGAGAGCCCGGCCGGCAGTCCCGCCCTCTGCTTCTGCCTCCACGCAGGCACCAGGTCTTTCTGTTCTTCCCGATTGTCGCCAGGGTACCTGTCCACTTCCCCATCACACGCAGGGCCCGTGGGCACGCAGAGCGCTGTGTGTTCTCACTTCCGAGCTGTGCAATCCTGGGCAAGTTAACTTCTCTAGGCCTCGCGTTTTCTTTTGTACGAGAGCGATAACAACAGTACCTACCCCATGGGTTTGTTGTGGAAACAAAATAACGCCTAACCAGGGCTCGGTGCAGCGCCCGGCTCGGCTCTGCAGACCGGAGCGGCTCCCTCTGGCCCGACCCCCAGCGGGCCGGGCACGCAGTGGGCTCGGTGTCCGCGGAACCGCGGCCGGACACCTCCGGGAGCCACCAGGCCGCTGGGGGGCCCTGGGGGGGAGCACGCACGGGCGAGCGCTGGGCAGAGAAAGGAGCCGCGGGTGGGGGGCGCGGAGAGGACGGGGACAACGGCCCGGGCGGGGGCAGGAAGCCCCGCGGGGCTGCAGGAACTTGGCTGGGGGCCTTGGCGGGCCGGCCGTTCTGCCCGGGCTCAGGCTCGGCCCGAGTCGGGTCCCGGCCGGCGGGCGCCGTAGGCCCGGGCGGACCCCGCGCCCTGCTCCCC